ACAACTTTTCTTAACTTTTTTATCCTCTACATTTGAATTTTCCTGTTTTTGTCGAACCACAAGCAGTTACTTTGACATCATCTGAGCTACCGGTAAAATCGCCTCAACTAAAAATGGAACGCGATCGATGAGTTTCAAAATATTATCGGGACGTTACTCACGAGATATAAGGTTTGATGTGTATTTCATTTTATATAAGCCACCATAAGCTCCTGTCGTAAATACGGACGGGAAATAAAGTGGCGTCCGATTTAGATTGGGGTTTATTGTTGACACATTGAGTGGCACAATGTATTAGACGTCAGGATCAAATTACAACGAAGGACTTTCTAGGACACGATGGATTCCATATACATCACGGATAGATAATCCATTGAATAATTGATAGCTTCACTTCATTGAGTTAAAAAAGCAATAGTCTCTCGGGTATAGTCGAAGTAACCGTTATTGTGAATACTTAAAGCTATCGGCATCTCGGCCAAAAAACCAATGCAGAGAAATAATGCCGCTGCGAACTGGTCCACGTGGACTGAAGAATTGGATAATCGTATTGGATGATTTTTACTCACCGAGTTTTATGAGTGGCTGAAGAGTCATAAAATTAAATTTAAAGTCATGTTAAGGTGACGAATATAATGTGGGGATGAGTATCGCCGTTGTGTCGTCAATGTTCAGTTCAGGACTGATCGCGATTTGAGTGTCGAAATTCGATATTGGTGCAGTTATAATTACTTAAAATGTTTGTTATCTGTTTAAAATGTGACGTCCTTGGACAAGTACTAATAGTAATAGCGAGTGTGATAACAACGCAGACTTTTTCTTGTGTAGTGATTCCAATAGCGCTGGTGAACCAATGGAAAAAGAGATACATACCAATGAATAAGATTCGGATACATCTGAATATTGAAAAACACAAAGAGTATGTTTCAATGTATATAAGAATCTACGTATCAAGTTTGGTTTCGAGGGAAACAAATTATTACAAGCAACATCAGATTTGACCGAATTCCTTTCTCAACTGTACGTAAAATAGTCAAAAACAAACCTTATGAACGCAAGACGCGATGTGATACGGGATTACCAAAACCTTCAGATGTTCATCTAATAAAATCATTGAAAAAAACAATAATACGACTGTTACAAAAGCAATGAGATTCCTACAACTGAAATCGAACTGGTTATTAGAGTTCAGAAAAAAAAGTCAGCCGGAGCCATATCAGGTGAATACGATGGCTGTTCGATGAGGTTTGTTGAGTTTTTGGTCAGAAATACGTTCACAGCGATAGCCTGTTGTTTAAAGGTGGTTGACAATGTTTCGTGGTGTATTTCATCAGCTCGGACTTCCATTGTCTAATATAATATAAATTGATTTGATGACCCTGAAAAAAATTAGAAAGATTAACCGAAAATAACAAGTGCTTTCACCCATACCCCCTTCCCTCTTTCCGCTTCATTGATTTTGGCGGGAGATGACCGTTTGGCGGAAGGTGGTCGTTTTTCGCTTGATTAGAGATTTCCATATGTTACGTATCTCTACGCTAGATTTACTAAATGCGTTGTTGGACAACATATACGCGGCTTCTTTGAAATTTCTCCTAAACCAGTGGATTATTTCAGCTTGAGCCCACTTGATGTTGTATTGATGAGTCCAAACATGCTCTGCTATTCCGGATTTGCTGGTTTCTTCTCGCTGTGTGTGTTTCTTGTGCCCAGCAATGCGAACTTTCAATGGCCTCTTAGTTTCACCGATGTATGATTCTCCGCACTCGCAGGGTATCCGGTAAATGCAATTCTTGGAATCGCAGTCCGCGTTTGGTGACCTGGTTTTCGTGAGGCTGCTACGGATAGTGTTCCCAGATCTGAAGCAGGTTCTGATGTTATACTTGGACCCAATCCGTCTTATCCTTTCTAATAATCCTCTGATATAGGGAAGTACAAGTACTGGTTGTGGCGGCTTCTCTTCGTTGTGGAGTTCTTGCTCTCTTCTAGCTAAGGCCTGTTCTACCATCACTTTGGAGTAACCATGCCTGGTTCCTTTTCGAGACCAAAAGCACGGTCCAGTAGAGTCTTGATGATTCCTCTCTTAGTCGATTGATGGTGGTTGGATAGCCTTCATTAACTGTCTCATCTTCTGGCAAGAATTCCAAGTGCACAACACCTCGGTAATCGAAAAAATCGAGATGACCTACTCACTCGGAAATGGGAGAGCCCGAATGGAAGAACCCACAATTCCAGATAATCCTTCCAAAGACGTATATCCCGAGTATCCTCGAACAGATACACGATGGTCGCACTGGAGGGCATTTCGGAGTAAATAGAACTCTAGCGAGAGTGCGTGAGAGGTACCTTTGGGTCAATTGCAGTAGAGACGTGGAAGAGTGGTGTAAGCGCTGTGATGTGTGCTCTTCGAGAAAGTGTCCGAAAAAAAGGCAAAGAGGAAAGTTGAAGTAGTACCTAAGTGGGAACGCTTTCGAGAGAATGGCAGGTGACATTCTGGTACCACTCCCTATGACCACATCCGGTAACAAGTACCTTATGGTTGTGATGTACTTGAAGTAGTAGCCTTTCCCAACCAAAAGGCTAAAACGGTGGCAGAAGCCCTGTTACAAAACGTAATTGGCAGACATGGAGTACCCCAAGAACTACACTCGAATCAGGGCCGCAACTCCGAATCGGATTTAAGGAAGGAAATGATGACTCGAGAGGCATAATGGCACCATCAATAACTACCTTTCGATGTTCTTCTCCGGAAACCAAAGAGACTGGAATAAATTGTTGGCATACAGGAGCTCCCAATATGACGCGACAAGTTACACACCATCCATGTTGGTAACTGGTAGGGAACTGAAGCTTCCGATAGTTAGATGTATTGTGCGGCAATCCTTTCGATGAATCTCAAGAGGTACCTCTTTCAGAATATGTGAATGGCCTGAAGGAGAGACTGGAAATTGTACATAAATTTGCCAGGACCAAATTACAGCTTTCCAGCGACAGGATGAAGACAATATTTGACAAAAAGTCGCTGCTAGTTGACGATGTTGATGGCCGACCAGTGCGAGGCATATCTTCCATCACATCTGGACCGCTTTCAAGTACTGAATCTGTCATACACATGACTAAGTTCAATCTGCCAGGTCGCCTAACTACTGATGTAGCAATAATAATAACAATATGCACTGAATAGAGAAGGATTCACTCACAAAAAGTCCGGTAGTTCTAAAATGTTGATATGTTGGCTAAGATGTTCAGTAAGTCTTCAAAATGCATGATTTGGTGGGGTTATTGTTTTTAATTTTTACAAAGATATCAGTCTATTAGTCCAAATGGAAGAACTTTCAAATGGAAGAACCAGTCTATTACTGGTTCTTCCATTTGAAAGTTGACTTTGGAAACCTCTTCTATATAGAAATCTAGGCAGGTTCATTGACCTAATGTCCCATATTTTCAAGACAGCTACTTCAACAACAAAGGATCTTCACTAGCTTCTGGACTCCATCTTGTGGTGACGAGCTGCCTCAGTCTCTTTGTCGGTTTGCCTGCGGCTAAAGTCTTCTTCAGTTTGTTGAAACAGTCGAGTGTTCTGACACCCAGTATAGAGTCAATCTATTTCCTTCCGCCAGTTCTTCCGGTTCTTCCCGGCCTCAATATCACTTCTGGGTTCATTAAAGCCGTAAGTGCGGACGGTTGTCTGTGAAAATATTGATCCACTCATTTCATTGAGGGCAAACATTATTATTTCTTGCACTGCAGAATTACATGTCCTTTGATTTGGAAGAAGGATGTGTACTGACCGAGCGGGTAGCTGTAATGTTAATTCGTTTGTGAAGTTTGTGACGAAAAATGAGTGCGATCCGTGAACATGTGTTACTGAAATATCGAGAACTCAACATAATCTACAAATACCAACATATGGTACAAAAGGCCTTAAAAGTTGGGGTGGTGTCAAGATGAGAATCCTTTTCGATGTCTTCATATTTTCAATGAAGAATATTTGCTTTATCTGCACTATATCGTTTACTTGAACTATACTAGCTACGGATATGACGATATTTCCATTAATTGCCAAACTGCATTCATTTAGCTACAATGATCATTTCTTTCAATGCTCCATTAATCAATTATTTCATAACCTGTTTACACAATTCACAGTTTACCAGTCACGAAGTTTATTATACTTTGAGTGGATTACGGACCATCGGCGTTTGTGGTTTTTACAAATAAACGAAAGCTGCTTCCTTTCGTTATCATGTTCGCAACAGCTGCCTTTCAATATTTGCCAACGACTTATGGGAAGGTTTTTGTCCATTGGCCATTCCACTCTCTGCTCAATTGGGCAAACACACTCGTCGGTCCTTTTTTATTTTTTGTGGTGGTGGGAATATACAGCCAGATGTTCGGTGATGTATTAGGCCTTGAAAAGGCCTAATACCGAACCTTTTGGTCCTGTATGTCTTCAATCTGTATTTTTTTTCAAAATCCTCCTAACGTTATTTCTTAAAAATAATTATAAATATGCCTTATTGTCCAAAGAGAAATTTTTTATTGACAAAGCTTTGGTAAACATTGCTCCTCTAGTACTCAATTCATTCTACAAAAAATAGAGGGAAGGGATTGAAATAATATGACGAGCAGCTTCTTCAAACTTCATCTTGAGCTGGTTCGGCTTCCGTAAGCTTACACTGGGCTATCTTCCAGAACCTGTCTCCAGTTATGACTAGCTCTTGATACACTGGTTGTTTCATAATTTCTTTTCTCCATTTCCGGAGCAGTGGAATGTGATAGCATGCGGCAAATTTTCGCCAAGTTTGAGGTAGATACACTCTCCTCTCTCTGCCCAGGTCCACATCATATAGTCTACTATTCCACGTTCCAAAGAACGTGGTTCCTCTTTTTGTCAGTTTATCCTCAAACTTCTATAGGGGTTCCAAGAGAAGTTTCAACCATTGTGTGTCCGATCGTTCCTATTCGGTGAAGCAACATTTGGCAAAAACTGAAGTCACCGATACAATTTTTCCGATAAGTTTTTATCGCGATTCTTCGCTTCAGGTTCCGAAGGATACAGAGGATTCTGATGATACTTTTCTTCAAGGTAGTTGCAAATATCTGAGCTTTGGATTAGAACATTTGATCCATTTAGAAGGGCAGGAACTTCACCTCCTGGATGGATTTTGCTATACCATTCAGGCTTTTTGAACAAACTGATATGAAACACTTCGTGGGGAATCTCTTTGGCTTTCAAAACTAATAATGTCCTTTGGGCGCATGTGCAGAATTTCATTGCATACATCCTGAGCAATTCGTCTACACAGGGAGGGTCTTCAAAACCTAGCGATAAGTGTTTGAATTTTTTACAGAAGTTAACAATTCTGTTCGGAAACCTCCAGCTATTGGTCATCGACTATTGATATCTCGTTTGAAAAAAAAAGTGTTTTACATCATTGAATTCTACGTAAAAAAGTGATTCAACATTCAATTTGTTTTTCCCAAGAAAAATGTCAAAAAACACGTATCACACTAGAAAAAACGTGACAGAATCGGCTCGATTCCGATTTCAAAGGACAGCCTTCAATCGAAGGCCATGTCTACACGGCATCGCGATCTATCTGATTACCATTCGAGAAACAGTTTTACATCCGATGACCTTGCAAGGTCGCCGGTGTTTTCATTCTACAGCGTAAAATACAGGTAGACAAATAATGACCCTGGGAGGTACTTGACCAGTTTGGTGAGTATGAATGAATTTGTGAGTCGGACCCACATTCTTTATGTCTGCATTCGTCGCGGAAGTTCCCAGGGCATTATGGAACTCGAGTAAGCAGAATTGGTGAAAGTAAAATTGGAATTTCGTCAATTACCAAAGCCATTAAATGTGTTTCATGAACGTCTTGATTTTATACTTGAAAGAAAACATCATACAATCAAACGAGGTTATAATTATATGCTAAACTTCCGTTTCAAAGTTCACATTATAGAAAAACACACTAGATTATGCTTCATTCTTACTTATAATCCAGTCATTTTAGGTTTTTTAAACCTCAATCTGCGGAAAAATTGCTACTGGTCTGAATTTTAGTATACACATTCATTATGGCGTTTTAATGAAGATGTGAAAAATAGACATTGATATCGTGCCGGCTAAAAAAGTTATAAGGGTCAAAACATCACGAAAAATAATTTTCGTGACCTTTTCGGACTTGTAGGAATTTTTCCGCAGATAAAACCTTAAATGACTGGACTATTAATGGTATTTCCCTCTAGCGTTGAAATAAATTCCAAGTACTTAATACAAAAACGAATTAAACCGATATGATTTTGTCAAATTCTGTCATTCAAAATGTAATAATTCACCTTTTTTCAGTATTTTTTAAATTACTTGCACAGTATTTTGGAAATAATATACAGAGTGGGCCTTAAAGTCCTCCAATCTCCCAACTTTTGAACGGGACAAAATATCATCAGTAATTTTTGATGAGAGAAGCAAACAGCTTAACATTACTCTTCGTTTAGAGAACGCAACCAATTTCTTTTTCTAGTGATAAAGCTGTCTTGAGATAGTTACTTCGTTCGATTAGGTATTTCAATTCTCATTTAACACTGTTTTATTTTTGGAAATCGTATCCGCTGTCTCTAAGTAATTATATTCGTTTCAAGAACCTACAAACAAACGATAAAAATCCACTAATATCTTTCCGGTTGTGAATTCCTATTGAATACACTGGAGTGTATTTGGAATATATGTTTCATCGAAATTATGATATTTATCTCTAATTACTCCAAAACAGCCGAACTGATTTCCAAAAATAACACAGTGTGGAACAGATAACGGAAAGACCTGTTGGACGAAGTGCGACAAGATATCCAACACAGCATATATATGTACAACAAAGGAGTCATTTCACATTTTTTTCATTTTCAGAAATGACTTTCTAAAACAGATGCTTTTTTGATGGTTTGGATAGTGAAACGCCAAGTTTTTACTTCAGAATCGCAACTTTCTTTAAAAATTTTTTGAAAAATTAGCGCTTGCCGGAAAATGCCCATGATGCCTGAAAATAACATTCATACAGTCTCTGATTATGGGGATTTTGTTTTTGGTTGGATCTCAAATGAACGGAGGATAGGAAGGCAGGTTAAACATGCAATAAATTCATGTGAGTAAATAGAATTAATTTGAGAAGAGGAGGAAAAATTAATCCTGTTCTTTGATGGTAAATTTTTATGAATTTCTGTTTTATGTTTGTTTGTCTATGATTTTAATTCTCTCTCAGCACGCAATGCATTTCAAATTTTCCTCAAAGAAGGGAACACAAGAATATATTTACGAAAAACATGGTCAAAATTTGAGCTGACAACCCCGTCTGGCCAAAATACCACACTATTGGGTATCTGAAGAATGACGGTTGCCAAGGTTACCGAAATTGACAGCTGTGTTCAGCAGCAGTGATAAAGGCGGAGTTTTCAATACAATCATTAGGTCGCAACTTCGCAGATGATCGACTGTCAAAGTGTCAAACAACCGAATATGCGGCACATGACCTGCCAGAATGAAGGAAACGACTTCTCTGATGAAAATGGCGAATAAAGCGGTGCTGCAGGAATCGATAAAGCCCCGAAATCGGTGCATAGGGAAATAGAGGATGAAGGCGAGAACGACATCGGGAATTGTCACGGCTTACCTGTGGGAGATTCGCAGCTATTTGTCGGTGCAGAGAGTCCCTCTCCTTCTCCGTCTCGTGGAGTTTGATTTCGGTTTCTCCTAATCGTTCTTGGGTTTCTCGTAGACTGTCCATCAATTTGTCTCTTTCGTCCAACATCGACACCATGAGCTGTTCGAAATTGGCATCTTCGCCGGAGAATTGCGAACTCCTCGTGCTTATCGTGTCTTCCGATATAGTGGGCATCACGTCGCACATCATGTTCCACATGTTCGATTATTTACAATTCACTCACCGTCACTAGAAAATCCGATTAATGACATAGGTCGTTTCTAACCCCCTAAGATTAACTGAATTTGACGCGGCGGCACTGAAACCGAGACGAAACTTCGAACGAACACATCCTCCCATTAATGTCATTCGATGCAAAGGGCATAACTTGACGATTTTCGCGTAGACACACCTTCGAATTCCTTCTTACAGTTCTTGATACATACACAAACTCATCGCCGACCAGCCATTTTAAAGCCAATTGTCAATTTTGTCAAACAAGCCCTATTTCTACCGATAAAATAGTCATCACTCAACTGACTAGACGATTCCGGTGTGTGTGAACCTCGGCTAGTAGATGTCGCCGTAGGCGATGTGCGGAAGATATGTCATTTAGCTTCTCATCAGGGGAGTACGTAAACAAAGTTATTCAGGTATAATAAATGCATTATATTTGATGTACTCGTTTTTCTTTTAAAATGAATTTCGAATAAAAATCAAAAACTAATCGTACGAAGGCGTAGATGTGCCATAAGTTTTTCATAAATATCCGTTTGATGACTTTGTTAATGACGACTCTAATGTCAAAACTTGTCGCTTCAGTGTTCTATCGTAAATACGGCCACTTAAAAGTCAAAACTGTCAAAAAATCAACTATTGACACCTCTATTCCATTATCGAATACTGCGGACTTTTATTCCCCCTTTCAGATGTTTTCACTGAAAAAATTAACTCTATTATTGAACGTTGATCTCAAATATCAGATCAAGATCTTCAGATGATGTGGTACTGCAAGTTTTTCCGGGTTTTCGTGCGGCTGAAAAAGCAAATGCGCCTCTGTAATCCATCAAGTCGGCCCGGAGCGCCAATTAATTATTGTTGTTGTTTCATAGTTTGATAATTTGTATTACTTTCTTTTTTCTAACTTGTACACATAAAGTCGAATATTTTCAAGTAACTGATGTTCAAAATGAAATAATAGTTTCTCCACTTGCAGCTTTTCTCATCTGATACGATCATTGATGGCCTCTTTATTATTGAGACAAGCAGAACTAAGTCTCATCTTTTGTTAAATGTGTTAAATTGGCATTCAGACACAAAATTTTCATGTCCATGAATTGTTAAAAGTTCGCTTGTAGACATTACAACAAATCTGGTGCTAATAACCATAAGGTTGATGCGGTTATTTTCAAATAAAAAAAAAACAAATCTGGTTTTGTAAAACTTATAATGATACAATATGTGATTAAACCGATATATAACGGTGAATGAAAATGGTGTTTGTCCTGGAATTAAGATTTGTTTCAGTAGCATCAGTCTTAGAAATTCTCCTTCAATGTGCTCTGTAAATATGATCATTAACATCAATTATATAATAATATCAATTATATTTGTCAAACATCAGCTTCAACCATATTAATGAACTCGTATTTCCCTAATACCCCCTTCAGTTCCGACACTGCTGATCAAAAGTCTGAGTTCCTGCTTCATCACGTTGAGATCGCAGGAAAAACTGTATTATTTTTATTCACCTTGGTAAAATCTCGTAGACTTGTTTCGCCTGATTAATAACTGATCACAAGCACAATTTTTTCAATGGGAGACTAGAAAGAAAAAATCAATCCATGGCAACTGGCAACATTGTCTGTCAGTAAAAAGTGAAACCAGTTGAAGAAACAGTGAATGGCTGTTTTTTGACAATTCTGACAGTCCATCATGGCTCTCGATAGCGGTGGTCTCACAGCTCCAAGAGCTTTGTATTATTTATTTATTCCAGTTCTAAAATGCTCAAAAATTCTACTCTGACAAGTTTAGTAATAGGTAAAAAATGTCATACAAGAAATCAAGAAAGAATCGCTCAACGAAAAATCTGGGAGGTATGCATTCCTTGTTCTTTTGTGTCCTTATATTCCCCAACTGATTATGTCTTAATATCAAGTTGTAGAATAATCTTGACCTTGATTCTAGAAAAATGGATGAAAGTTCAGTTTGGGAATGTGGTGAAATGTTGCAGATTGGTACTTTTGTGATTTTTCAATTGTATCATGTAAACATTTTACATTCTAGATGAACTTTTTTGGTAAAACTTGTTTCATAAATTTTGGGCATTAGTTTTGCCAGTAGAATGAGTTGGATAGTGAAATTTTACAACGTCATTGAATGCATTTTCAGTTTTTCAATTTCAATTTCGCAAATGCAGCCTGCTATTTCTACTCTTTGCATATATATAAAATAGGTTTAACTAGTTTACACACATGGGCACATTTGTAGCAATTCCAATGATCCCTAAAAAATCTACAGTGATCTTGTTATTGAGTTTTTCAATATCGTCATCTATAACTAGGTATTATAACTTTATATAAGTATCTGTTTCAGATATAACCCTGAATGATTGTGCAAATTCATCGGTTTCCAAGTCTAGACTGAAGAAATCCACAAATAGCGTCGTCAAAGTTTTGAAGAATCTCGAAGTCGAGAAAGAGTGGGACGAAAAAACTGACGAATTTGACGGTGATTTTGTGAAAGTGGAAGATGAAGATGGCAATGTATCGTACGAAATCCGTCAATCAGATTCACATAGAAGGAAAAAGACAGTTTCTAACTCGGAGGACCTGAATAGTGATGGAAACGAATACCACATTGATATATGGTTTTTGATATCTGAATATATTCGACCCGAAGACGTCGGTCGGTTCGCTGGCATTTGCCGGGCATCGTTCGAAGTTGTTTGTACTGCTAAATTTTGGTTTTCCCTGTACAGAAAACACTACCAGTCTGTCCCAAATATGCCTGAGCAACTGCAGCCTGAATGCTTAGTCCGGAAATATAGTTTGCGTACTTCTGTCGTCAGAGCTTTATACCACATGTATCCGCCATTTATCGACAAGCTGAAACCCGTTTGTACTAGCTTCGAAGATCATCCCGATGTCCTGCGTAAGAGGCAGTGCGAATCTTTGTGGTACCAGAAACAGAAGGGTCAGTGGATTTTTTACTTCAAAATGAGAGAGAGGACTCAAAGTTCTCTGCAACATTCCACCAGGGGGACTGATAGGCGCCCTGATTTATTGGAGATTTTGGATGATGTGTCTGCGAATCCAGACGAACATTGCCGAGTACTGCAAGTAACCTGTTTGCATTCTGTCAGAATTCCACCTGTTATAGGTTAGTATGAACGAATATTCTAGAGACCAATACTCTTCGATTGGTAGTGTGGCGGAACATTCAAAAAATAGTAATTGCAAAACTAAACCAAATATGGTGTAAACGTATAACTATGAATGTTACAATTTTACTTATTGATTCCTTTCAGGTCAACTGCTCACATATGTGGCGCTAACTCTTTCCCAGGGCTACAGACACCACAGACTTCAGCTGGGATTCAGTTCGGGAGTACGCAGCTACTACTCGCCAGATGGCAGTGATCATACCATAATCGTCCTAGACCCAGTAATAGATTATAAACTTTTGGACTGGTGGCACCCCCTGTATCCACATAGCCATAACATGCAGGACTTGTTGAACCAAGACTAATTTGAATTATCTGATCTACAAATAGGCTTGTAACGAAGTTGGCAATTCAATGAATTTTAAATTGTGATAGAAACCATATTTTCAAAGGTAGCGGGAAAGATTGTATAGTTATACCAAGTGGAAGGAAAGTCGACATTTAACTTAAATGTTTGCACTTGGCATAACCTCCTGAATTTCATTTGAAGTATGTACTCAACAGTGTGATAGAAACAAATTGGTTTACATCTTTCTAAGTATTGGGATTATTTAAGTTAAAAACGAAAATGTAATTTATTTTTACCAAATTAAAACTGGGCATTATAATGTTTTTTTTTGTTTCGATGATTTGGTGTGAATTTATGGTGGAAAAATTGAAGGTGAAAATACCAAGTACTAAAAATTTGAAGTAAAATAGTATGCACATTCAACTATTAGAAACTTGGGCATTATATTGGCATTCAACTACTAGAAATTTGGGCATTATATTGGGTATTATTGGGCATTTAGTGGCATTCAACTAGTAGGAATATGGAGCAAAACTGCACTATTACAGTTGATTTATGAATTCAAACTACTAGAAATTTGGGCATTTTATTGGCATTCAACGACTTGAAATTTGGAGCAAAACAGTATTACGAATTTGGGCATTATATTGGGTATTATTGGCATTCAACTATTAGAAACTTGGGCATTATATTGGCATTCTACTACTAGAAATTTGGGCATTATATTGGGTATTATTGGCATTCAGCTATTAGAAATTCGGGCATTATATTGGCATCCAACTAGTAGAAATTTGGAGAAAATCTGTGAGATTATAGTTGATTTATGAATTCAAACTACTAGAAATTTGAGCATTATATTAGCGTTCAACTATTAGGAATTTGGTTCAAAACAGTGTGATTATAGTTGATTTATAAATTTAAACTACTAGAAATTTGGGCATTTTATTGGCATTCAACGACTTGAAATTTGGAGCAAAGCAGTATTACCAATTTGGGCATTATATTGGGTATTATTGGCATTCAACTATTAGAAACTTGGGCATTATATTGGCATTCTACTACTAGAAATTTGGGCATTATATTGGGTATTATTGGACATTTATTGGCATTCAACTAGTAGGAATTTGGAGCAAAACTGTGCTATTATAGTTGATTTATGAATTTAAACTACTAGAAATTTGAGCATTTTATTGGCATTCAACTACTTGAAATTTGGAGCAAAACAGTATTAGGAATTTGGGCATTATATTGGGTATTATTGGCATTCAGCTATTAGAAATTCGGGCATTATATTGGCATCCAACTAGTAGAAATTTGGAGAAAATCTGTGAGATTATAGTTGATTTATGAATTCAAACTACTAGAAATTTGAGCATTATATTAGCGTTCAACTATTAGGAATTTGGTTCAAAACAGTGTGATTATAGTTGATTTATAAATTTAAACTACTAGAAATTTGGGCATTCAACTTTTAGAAATTCGGGCATTTTATTGGCCTCCAACTAGTAGAAATTTGGAGCAAATCTGTGTGATTATAGTTTATAAATGTAAACTACTAGAAATGTGAGCATTATATATTAGCATTCAACTACTAGAAATTTGGATCCAAACAGTGTGATTATAGTTGATTAAACTACTAGAAATTTGGGCATTCAACTTTCAGAAATTCGGGCATTTTATTGGCATCAAAACTAGAAGAAATTTTGAGCAAATCTGTGTGATTATAGTTGATATATAAATTTAAACCACTAGAAATTTGGGCATTCAACTTTTAGAAATTCGGGCATTTCTTTGGCATCCAACTAGTAGAAATTTTGAGCAAATCTGTGTGATTATAGTTGATTTATAAATAATTTAAACTACTAGAAATTTGAGCATTATAAATTAGCATTCAACTATTAGAAATTTGGATCAAAACAGTGTGATTATAGTTGATTTATAAATTTGAACTACTAGAAATCTGGGCATTCAACTTTTAGAAATTCGGCATTGTATTGGCATCAAAACTAGTGGAAATTTTGAGCAAATCTATGTGATTATAGTTGATTTATAAATGTAAACTACTAGAAATGTGAGCATTATATATTAGCATTCAACTATTAGAAATTTGGATCCAAACAGTGTGCTTATAGTTGATTTATGAATTTAAACTACTAGAAATTTGGGCATTCAACTTTCAGAAATTCGGGCATTTTATTGGCATCAAAACTAGTAGAAATTTTGAGCAAATCTATGTGATTATAGTTGATTTATAAATTTAAATTACTAAAAATTTGGGCATTCCACTTTTAGAAATTCGGACATTTTATTGGCATCAAAACTAGTAGAAATTTGGAGCAAATCTGTGTGATTATAGTTGATTTATAAATTTAAACTACTAGAAATTTGAGCATTTTATTGTTCTTTGGTTGTGATGATTTGGTGTGAATTTATGATGACTAAAAATTTGTAGCAAAATCATGTGTGAGTATAGTTGATTTATACATTTTGAGCTGAAAAGACTAATTATACTTGGTGATATACAGTTTGGAGAAGAAATACTGATTATAGAAAGTGGCGAAAGTTTGATTAGGATGATTTTCTAGGTCAAAATGGACTGTGACCCAGAAATATAGTTTCAAGTAGCTAATATGTATAAAAAGTTTAGGCATTTTATTTCAATTGGGAATTTGGAAAAAACAACTAATTATAGATGTTGACCCAAGACTGATGCGTCAATTGTGATGAGGAATTTTGGAAGAAGGTGCTGACCAAGTATGATGACCCATTAATTTTGAATGAAAAGCTTGATTATGAATACCTATGACTTGAAAATGTTAATCCGAAAAGGATAATGAACTATGAAATACGTCTAGCAGCTTATCGTTGATATTTTGGAAATTTTTGGTTAAAGGTTGATTATATGCAATAGAGATTAAAAAGGATCATTGTAAGTAGCATTCAAGGCCTAAGGGTTAACTGTGAAGGGTAGTGAGGTTAATTATGTTCTGTCGTCTCCTTGAGGAAAACTAGAATGAACTGAGATGCTGTTAACTGGTGGTGGTTTTCCATTACAAACATCATTTATGGGATCGAGAGAAGATTCCCAACTAGTAAGGGTTTGCACCAGGCTCAAAGTGATGAAAATTATTTGATGGTCATATGAAAACAACTTGAGTGCTTTTCTGCACTTCTTCGAGAGATTATCCTAAACAGTAGTTAAATTAGGCAGGTCAATACTTGACAATATTCTATTCTAGACTTTTCCCCACACTATTGATAAAGTATGGCTAAGTCTTTAGTTCTATGTTAGTCTTGCAACTGAAGAAACTAAATAAAAGTGGATGATACGTTTTATTGATCTTGAATAATGAACTTTAACAAACTTAACACATCCAAACTCTTAAGGATAGCTATCTGGACCTCAGTATTCATCATTGAATGGGTAGTGTGGATGTCCAACAGCCCTAAAAAATTGAATAGAAATTAGAATTTTCAATACAGATGAACTGAAAAAACAATGAAATAATGTTGTTTTCTGAATTATGTGCCCAAAATAAGCAATAAACCAATGAAAAATATGTTTACTGGGGAATCCCAAACAAAAGATTCAATTAAATATGAGAGTAAATGATGGGATACTTGTATTTTGCATGACAAAGTCAAACTCAACATGAAGATTCACACATTTTTTTAGCAATATCATGAGTTTGTTAGTACATAAAACAGGTCAAATTACAGATAAGGTACAAACATGTTATACCGTGAATCATAAATTATTCTGTCTAAGAATTATGTGTAATACCATAAAAATGTTTTCAAACATTTGGTTAAGACATTAAATGCAGCTGTTTTGAATTTAGATGATATTGTATAGTGGTACCTACAGTTATTCAGTTGATATTGTTATTCCGAAAAGACTATTCTATATTGGAAAAAGTAAAAATATTTGATTGTATTGAGAAAAACTAGCCTGAAAGGTGATATCCCAAGAGACAAAGTTTTGGACACTTACTCCACAAACCAACAGACTCTTCCGTTACAGTCGAAAGTATCCATCACTGCCATATCATCAGCAGACAGCTCAAAATCGAATATTTGTATGTTTTCAGCAATTCTCTTTTTATTGACCGACTTCGGAATTACTATCACCCCCGATTGGATCAGATACCTCAGAATCACTTGGGCACTCGATTTCTTGTATTTGGCAGCCAAAGCCTTTATCTTGTGGTCTTCCGTCAGGATGGGGTCGGTGGGCTTAGCCCAGGGTCTGTCTGGGGATCCCAATGGACTGTAAGCTGTTACTGTGATGCCTTTGGACTTGCAGAAGGCGATTAGCTTCTTCTGGTTCAAGTAAGGATGGCATTCGATCTGAAAAAGGGAAGAAAACCTTCAGTAAATTACTATTTGGTCTTTCAGTAAACTACTGAAATTCTCATATCTCTTTATTTCTTCTGAATGTAACAAGTCGTAGTCATAATGAATTATTCATGTCCTTCTGATAAAAGATGGTTTGCAAATGTGGAGTTGGTCTTTTTATTGAAGAAACTATTTCTATGCTCTTTAATTATCTGGAAAAAAGTTCTCCTCGTTTGACCAACATAAAGTTTTAGGCAAAAACCACCATATCAACTTATATACCACTGATCTATCTGACATTAAGGTTTTGTAGTTATTGTTTTCAATAAATATGCCTGTTATTTGTTTTGTAAGCCACATCCAAGCATTTCTTTTTTAAAAAATAAGCACCAAAATGTGACGATGTCCTATAGCGGACGCTATAGGAAATAATTTATGCAAGCATATGGAAATATAATATAATTTATAAACTCCTTGTGATAAGTATTAGCTATGTATATCCTTCCTTGGTTAACAGACTAAGCAACGCTCTTGATATCATTCGACAAAGAAGTTTTTCACTAACCTGATTGTTAACTGGGGGTATTTCTGCAATTTCAAGAATCCTTTCGAGTTGTCTCTTGTTAAAATTAGAAACTCCGATCGATTTTGTCAATCCCTTCTTGGCTACTTGTTCCATCACTTTCCAGGTGTCGATGTAATCGACGTCACTGAATTCAGACAAAACGTCGTGATCGGGTCTTTTTGGTAAAAATGCTCCTCCTTCCTGAAATTAACAAATTTGATTTCAGATTAGTAATTAGGTTTATGTATCATGATATTAAAAACTTCCCATTGGCTAGTTTGGGGAAGAAAGGAATAACCAGTTATCTTGAAAAGAAACAAATTCAATAGTTTGAGAATGCAGAGAGTTCAAAAAAAGACTTTGTTGACTAGAGAAAGATCACCTAAATAGCAATTTTACTTGTTTTTTTTTCTATTAAGAATGCAGTCCACCCTTATATGTATGGGGGCGGTTTACGACTTTGATTTCACCTAATATTTTGCCTGTTACCAATGACAAAAGTTGAATCTACCCCTTTCGAAGGCTAACTCCTGTTTTTTTCTAATATCTTGTTAACTTCAGAATATTTTGATCAAATCTCATAATATTTGAAGTTGATATGTGGAGTGCCACAGGGCACTATTTTGGGACCCCTTTTGTTTGCTATCTACACATCTCAACTTGCAAAATGTTAGAAGTTTTGTAATATACATTTGTATGCAGATGATACCCAGTTGTATTATAGCTTCTCACCTGAAATGATAGATAATGCATGTACGCAAATCAATAGTGACTTAAAATTATTTGTGAAAAATGCTTCTGATCACTGTTTAAATATAAATTGTAGTAAATTCAATGTTATTGTTTTCGGACCAAAAGGCCCTACAAATGATATTTGCAAATCTGTGAAAAGTAGTAAATGATCATGTACTTGGGGTTGTCCCAGAAGCCAAAAGCCTGGGCATCATTTTAGATAAGGACTTGACATTCGAAAGCTAGGTTAATCAGTTTATTCGGCGTGCATATTATTCACTCAAAATTATATATGGACACCGAAATTTCCTACCCATGAAGGTGAAGGCGAATTTATGCGAATCATTAGTTTTATCCATATTCAATTATGCTGATGTTTTGTATGGTCCATGTTTAACCAACCAATTCAAGAAAAAGATAAAAAAGTTCAGAATTCCTGCCTACGGTTAATTTTTGGTATAAGAAGAAGAGAAAGAATATCACATAAACTGAAGGATAACGGCTGGTTAAATATGAACGACAGGAGAGTGTTACATGCTGCAACTTTGTTTCACAAAATAATTAATAGTAAAGTGCCGTCTTACTTACACCAGAAAATCACTTTTAGAACTGATGTGCATAATATTAATGTAAGGTATAAAGGCCGACTAACTCCGCCATCCTTTCGCACAGAGTTCTTTAGAAGGAGTTTCAGCTACCAGATCTGTGCAATTTATAATGACATTCCCGAGCCCATGAAACGAGATGACTTCAATCATTTTAATATCAATTTCAAACGATTCTTATTATCTTCAAACTATTAATGACCCAATAGCTACCTACCTATTACAAATCCATAAATAGTCATAATATTTTTAAGATATTTAAAAATTCTTTTTGTTTATTCCTTTGCGTACTAGGCGACATTTTTGAGGTTAAGTGGAAGAGCAATTGAATGATGACTTGTCATCATGTAAATTGAACTTCGCCTTTTGTCTTCTTATAATAAATGAACTGTACATGATTAATTTGATTTGAATGTATTAGAAGATAATAAAGACGGTATTATTATTATTATTATTATTTTATCTCTCCTTGTTTGCTATCAGTGACTGTTTCGATTAGGACGTTGAGTTGGGTTGATTTTTATTTTTTTAGAAGAAATTTTACGAAAATTGACATACGAAAGTCTGTAGAAAATGTGAGGAAAAATGGTTTGAGAAAAAATGTACGTCAAAATTACAAATGTGATGTAACACAAAAGGGTTCAAAGTGCCCCCCAAAAAAGTTAGTTTCAACTTTACAACAACGCAAAATAGCATATAAAAAGAGGTATTATCACTACTCTTCCGAGTAGTGTCGATAATAACATATCAAAAGAGTTGTAATTATGAATTTCAATCCAAATATTCGAAAGGGAAGGTCAAGTATGAAAAATCGATGTACTAAAAACAACCTCTGAGTACAAGAGTACCCCTAAAAGTGATACTTCCAAATATTTTCTTCAATGGCAATTTGACAATTCAGCTCAGATTGTTGTTATATGGAGATATCCTCATCTCCACCAAATAAATACTTACTTTCAACGCGCATGGCCAGTGAATCAGGTACAGATCCAAGTAATCGAGCCCCAAATTCTTCAAACTCAACTTAAGCGTGGGTTCCACGAGGTCAGGCCTCAAAAAGGTACTCCACAGTTTGCTTGTAATGAAAAGTTCCTCTCTCTTCACGACCCCGCTAGCAATTTTTTCTCTGATCGCAGCCCCTACTTCGGCTTCATTTTCGTAATAGTGAGCGCAATCGATGTGGCGATATCCGGCATCAATGGCATCTTTAACGGCTTGTGTGACTTCACCAGGTTTTGACTGAAAATCGAATGTTTGATAATGATGATGGCATTTATCGACAGGTGAAACAAATACAAATAATAACAGAATAATATAGGGACCTATCAAATGGCAGTCTTTACTCTTCCATCCAATTTTTTCATACACCAAAAAGGTGAACTGCTAATTCAATATATGTCCTTTAAATGTTTTTTTTTTCAGTTTCATTTCAACCGACAAATAAATTGTAGGAGAGCTCAAGCCGCCTGTATATTTTGACAACTAATTCATTTCTTCTGTCTCTGAAGCTAAACGTCTTGGAGCAGTAGCTCAATTCACCAAACAATTAGGTGTCGTCGCAAAGAGAATCTATCTGAGTCCTAAACAACTAGTCCTTTTCAAACGGGGTCTGGACACTACCACTGAAAAATGCTTTGCAACTTTCTCGTCTTCTCGCAAAGTAACTACGCTGACATGGTTTATGAACCTTGCGTATCACATGAAGGGAGTGTAAGATTGCAAAAATTAAAACCAAAGCATTCGTTTCATAAAAGAGGTTCTCCCTCAATCATCTCCCATATTGGGGAATTGCAACTTTCAAAATTGGAAGAAACCCATTTTGTTCACTACGCTTGTCTTTTCAACAAGATCTTGGCTACTGAACCATCCAAGTACCTTGCTTCAAAAATGGTTCGAAGGGAGGACAGCCACAACTGATTACTGAGGAACATGGTACCTTATCTTGGTACCTCATCTGCTTAATAATAATATGTCCTCAGGGTATTGTTATTAATCTGCTTCTACTTTGAAGGAAAACTCAAAGAGGTTATCTGGAATGGGCAGCCGAATTCAATAAATTTCAACTAACTTTAATCTTGTCAGTTTGTTTGTATCATATGTTTTTTGCCTGTTTTTTAGGCATGGTTGATATAATTTCGAATCCTTTTGTGTGTAATTTTGTATTTTATTTGTTTTTTGAAACAGGCTATGATGTCAGCGGATATTCCTGCAATTCTGGAACCCTCAGGTCGAGATGATGATGAACGACCAAATGATACAATAGAATAGAATAGATATCATGCAGAACATTGTCAAAGATAATTTGTGAGAATAGAGTCATGATTCCTGTATTCTCAAACAAAGGCTTGCAGTGTTCATTATATTCAGCTTTAACAATGCTACGTACAGCAGCTTTTTGCAAGACAAATACTCTTTGAAGATGGGTATTACCCCAGCACAGCAACCCATAACTGATTGCTGAGTGAAACAAGGCGTAGTATGTCATTAGAGCTGCTTTCTGACCAGCCGTTGTAGCTATTCGCCTAATGGCATAAACAGATTTTGCTAGTTTGTTGCAAAGATTACTGATGTGGGTGGTCCAGGCATGAGACGAGTCAAGATGAACTCCCAAAAATTTTATACTTTCTGATGTTGAAATGGCATCAGTACGATATTTTGAAAATAAACAAATTTCTGTTTTTGTTTCATTCATATACAGTTCATTAGAGTCAAACCACTGTTTAGCAGAAGCACAAATATTTGCCGATATGTTATCAACATCACAGGTTCTATCTATATGTACAGAAAATGACGTGTCGTCAGCGTATAATATTGTCAGTAATTCTAGTTTGAGATGCATATATGAAGGTAAGTCATTAGCATAAATTAGGAACAGGAAAGGCCCCAGTATGGATCCTTGTGGGACTCCCCTTTTGATAATACGTTCTTGACTTATCATATTGTTATTGTAAACTCTTTTGTGTTCTGTTAGCTAAATATGATTCAATTATTTTATTGGGAATTCCTCTTATGCCATACCATTCTAATTTCTCCAACAGTTTATCATGACTGACACAATCGAAAGCCTTTGACAGATCTGTGAAGATAGTTAAACAGGATTGTTTAATTTTCAAAAGCTTCAATAATGTTATTAGCTAATTTGTTTATAGCGTCTATGGCACTTTTAGCTTTCCTAAACCCAAACTGATAATTATGTAAAAAATCATTGCTTTCCATGTAGTTACTGAACTGTATTAAAATAGCTTTTTCCATTACTTTGGATAGGGTGGGCAATATGTGAATTTGTCTGTAATTCTCAGGTAATTTTTCATCTCTCATCTTGAATATAGCTAGAACTTTGGCTGGTTTGAACACTGATGGAAAAAAACCATCAGAAAGAAATTTATTTATTATGATGGTAAGTGGTTCAACGATTAGCGATGCGCATTGTTTGAGCAAATAAGTGCTGATACCATATACATCTTGCGTCCATAGAAATACGATAAACCTGTGGCAACGGACTTCACTTGCTGTGACACGGTCGCGGCTTCCCATCTAACCGAAAGTTCGAAGTCAGCTGGAACATCAGCTGAAACTTCTGGTGTTCATGGCCCGGAGTCTCTGTTATTCGTTCACGAACTTGGAAGGAGATTAGGCCAAGCAACGAAAGATTACCGTTCTACCTCTTTGTCGACAGAAATAATTAGTATTGCTATTCAACGTGGTAATGCTGCTTTAGTCCTTGGAACTATTCCTCCTTCACATAATTTTGATGAGATCATGCATTGCCCTCATTTCAGTACGGAACTTTCTCTTCAAAACAAGCCGAGATATGTGTATATTCACCAGTATATTAACCAAGGTTAATTCGCAAGTGATTGATCCACCTTTTTTTCAGTGCGATCAATGGACATAGGTCATTCTTGCCCCCAAATATGAGCTGCAGTCCTTGTGGTTCTGGTTCCATTTCAGTGGAAGAGCTTCATGGAGCAAGAGCCAAATCGAACCCTCTACGAAACCCTTCATCACTTGGGAAGAAAATTGGATTATATACTTCAGGAGACACGAATACTTCAAAGAACGAGGTTTCAATGATGAACGAGACAGAAAATATGTCCTACTTATTTACCAAACTCAAAAATCTGTTAATGCAGCTGCATGAACAGTTGTTCCTGTTCCACTAGATACTCGGTTAGAACAACAAGAGGATTGTTCTGAATTCTTGGGGTTCTTGTTGAATATCCTTCGTTAGCAGAAAAATAGCCCTGGATTGAATGATTCCATATAGTTTATCTCGTCTTGCGTTTGTAGATCTCTTGCTGCAAAAATCCCCACTTGTTTATTTAGTAGTACATGTTCAGGAGGTAGCAAAACCATATGTGACTTTCTGTAACTTCAACTAGAGTTTCCTAATATGACTGATAACCAGTCCCTGCAAAGCTTATTGTTGAACGAATAAAAATAGAACTTTTAAGAGGTGATAAATAACTGGATTGCCAAATTGCAAAATTAACTGTCAACAAGTATAGCTGAAGCGTCAGTCAATCTAATAATAACACTGAAGATCTTCAAACATGACTCAACCTCTGACGGAAGCACCAAACTCCTACGAAGGTTCGAAATAGATGAACACTTCAATCTAGCAGACTACTATTATATTCTTCATGCAGTCATTGTTCACTGTGGTTCTGGCGTTGAATTTCGTCATTATTATGTCATGGTCAAAGACGAAACGGAGTGGTTTAAGTTTGACGATAGTCGTGTCACGAAGTGTTCTGGCGATGTATTAAATTTATTGGAGCCTCTGGAGACACCTTACATTTTATTATATGGAAGAGAGGTTTTTCCGGGTTTTCCTGTAGCTGAAAAAGCAAATGAGCCACTTTAATCGATCAAGTCGCCCTGGAACGCCAATTATTTTTGTTATTGTTTCATAATTTCATAATTTCTATTATTTTATATCTGAATACATCCAAAAAGAAGAATTATTCCAAAAGATTGAGTTTGAAACCTTTCTCGTCCAAATGTGATACTTCATAGTCCTGAATGATGGTGTTCAATTGTGGAATGGATTTTCACATTCGAAAAACTACTCCTATGCTCTTTCATTCTTCTGGAAGAGGATCTCTCCGCTTGGCCTATATTAAATTTTCTCTTTATTGGTTTTAATAAATTTGTTTGAAGTATCGTATGTCCGGTTAGACACGTCCCAGTCTGTCTTTTTCGAAAATGGCCGAACAGAATTGAAAGCTTTTTCTCTTATGAATCTGTTTTCTAATGTGGAAATTGCATCACAGGTCGATTTAATGACTTGAGTCAGTCAGTATGAAAACGCCTGAGGAAGCTTTTGAATAGCGAAACATGTGCTGCGGTTTTGTAAAGCGTCAATAGAAATCTCACAATGAAATATTACTTAAATGTATTGAAAAATAATATAAATCCATTAATAAAAAACTAGATGGAACGGAAATCGAAGGTTTTCTTGTCTGTGCATGAGACAGTGTCGTTTGGATCTGCCAAATTAAATTCATTCAGTGGTACCAGCCGGGTCAAAGATTCCACTTCACCATCAGAAGATGACTGGAACAAATTTTTCTCGAATAAATCACAACGTTTTATATTCACCTAGACAAAACTACACTTCGGTAATGAAGGTCATTTGCAGGTTGCATTTTGTTCCATTTACTAATTCAAATCTAAATTTGCAGTTCGTAAACTGGCATTGGAATTATTTTTAAAGGATCCAAAATAATTTTATCATGTTTATACATACGTGGGATTACTTTTTGAAGGTTTTCATACTACACCAGTTTCATTGATTTTTTTAAATTTATTTAATTCAATGCGTAACGCAGATAATTGCAGTAAGGTAAATACATTAATTCCCTTATAAATCTCTCAGACATTTTCATTACTATCTAACAAAAGTCTTAGGTACAATGTTCTCTCTTTCACTCTGACGTAATCTTGCACTCCCGACTAAATAATTAAAAGAACTGTAAAAAAATGTTGTTTCCAATAGTATGCATTAACTACTAGTATCAAGTATCAACACAATTTTCATAGTCTATTTACGACTGTCATTTTGCAAAGAGTTTAAAAGTTATAAGCAATTGAGTTGAATAAAAAAGAGGGGTTCGTTTTTTGCGAGTGTCTCAAAAACTTTTCCAGATATTTACAATTCAAAAAAATATCCTTGAAGTGCAGAAAATTTACTGCAGAAGAATCGCAACCACGAAACTGTAGGATCAATATTCATAGTTTCAATTGAGGTAAAAAAAATGCGGGTATAAACATAAACGACCGAGCACTTGAACAATAAATGTTAACTCATTGACTATGAATATTGAAGAAATAAAAAATAGGTACTTCGTGAATTTTTGACTAAACAATAACCCGCGATAATTAAGCTTCTGTATATTAACTTTTTTTTCACGTTGAATGTGCACATAAAATCTTGATAATTTCGAAGTCGAAGTCCAGATTGATTTTCTGATTGCAGCATTTTTTTTTAAATTCTTGAAAATATTTTTGGTGGAAAATTGGGATGATAATTAATCGTGCTTTAGTTACTTCTTGTCTGAAGTTCTTGTTCAACGGAAGAAAGAACTTTAGCACCACTAGTAATGTTCAAATGACCGGAAAAAAATTGAAAACAACCAAAAATGAGAAATTAAAAACATAAATATCGTGAAGTGAAGCAATGAACTTTTATTCTATTGAATAAACGTATTTTTGTAAATAAAATCTACATTAATTTTTTTTGTCAAATATCCGACAATTTTTATTGTTTAAACTTTCAAACATTGTTATGAACAATTGCATTTATTTATGATATAATTGATTTTTTTCAATTTTGAATGACGAAGGAAATGATTTTCAGGAAAGAAATTTTTGTTGTTGCCTAAAAACGCATTTGCTCATTAACTATTAATTTTTGCCAGAAAATATTACTGAATATTGTTTTTGAAAATCATTATATTCACAAATCTTTCCTATTCTGGAAAAAATTCAAAAAATGTATTCACTTCATTCTATTCAGTTTACTCGTTGAGGTTACTCGTTGACTGTACACGGCTAATAGGGCTTGTCTGCTGTCAGTGCAAATTTTTATTTTTTATGTCCATGTGTGTTCCCACGAGTAGCAAGGGAAGAGTTGGTCACCTTTGGCAGAGCCCCGCAACCGCAGCCGCAGCCCCGAAGGCTGATTACAATGAGGTTTCGCCCGGTTCCCCAAGAGGATCGTTCGTAATCGCATATCACCCTGCGGCCATTCAGCTGTCGGCACGATACCTTACACCTTAGCTTGGTTTATCTGGTCCATAGTGGCATGTTTCGCAGTGGCTTTTGGGGAGTTTTAGTTCCCCTCACCCTACTCATTTCTACCACTGACCAGGTGTCCGGCGGTTCCGTCCGTGAGGCCACATTGAATTCCCGGACAGGGCCCCCAGTCCCCTAACCGTTCCCCAGTCCGCCACCTGGGAACGCCACCAAGAAACATACAATTCGTAATCCCTGGAATCATTCCCCACGCTTGCGTGGTTGAAATTTGAAGAATTGGCCACATGCTGGCCATTATTCCTGAAGAGATGACACAGTGGAGATATCACGGCACGTGAATGGTATGGAAAAAGAAACTGTTTGCTTTCTGATACATTAGATTCAGTCATGCAAAGTTTTTTTCGTCTCTAGTTCGGAGGAGTTTCCTGATGATGTAGATTTTGTTTCTGCTGCCTAAGAATTTGATGCAAGTTGATTCCTGGGTGCAAATCCTAACCTCCTAGGTTTATTGAGGTGGAAAACAAAAGTTATTGCTGTCCTTCCCGTTGAGGGACGACATTGGAGTCAGAGGATCAGATTCTTTTTTGACTACATGAAAGACCCTACGAGTAGCTGGGTAAAGAAGGTTTATCACGGCAGAACCCCGCATTACCGTGACGAAGCTTTCTACTACGAGAGGGAGCCCTATAACTCAAGGGTTTCGTTAGTGTCAGTGAACAAAGTGAGCTGGCTGACAGTCAAACATCCTTTTTGAAACAGATACACACACCTTAGGACGATGTGTCATATAGGAGAACTCCAACATCCACAGGTGAGACACTTCACTCACAGGAGTATTGTAACGCCGTCCGCTACAGGGTGTAAGTAGCGTTTACGTTACGAATCACTGCAGATTATAATGATTCCGAGAAACCGTCTAGGGAAAGCAGCTGTTACCCAAATGAAAGAGTTTTTCATTAGTGTACTTTGAGTTGTGTAAGTTGAATCTCGAAACGATGCGTAGCTGTTTTGTCACTCCTTACATACCCGTATACCGCTATGGAAAAGAGGTAGTTCTCCAACTTCCTTTCGATTTTTGAAGCTATAAGGTGCTTTGTAATGTTTGGGTCTCTAATAAGTAGGGTGGCTCTTTTTCTCTAGGGGTATGTGATGATGATATTTTGACTGCTATCAAAGACATAAAAATCTGATGCTTTAGGTATTGATAATATAAATATCAAGATGATTTCTTTAGTAATACCACACTGTATTGATGAAGTTAAACATATTTTCAACGAGTCCTTCAGACAGGGTATTTTTCCAGATGTTTGGAAGGTTGCTAATACAATTCCAATTCCAAAAAAGAATGCACCTACCATGTTCAGTGGCCCACGCCCTATCAGCATTCTGCCCTCATTCTCTAAAATATTCGAGAAAAATGTTTCCCGTCAAATAAGAGCGCTTCTTGAAGAAAATCGAATACTCCCGTACGAGCAGTCTGGGTTTCGCAAAAACATGGAACACAGACTGTCCTCTTGAAAGTAATCGACGATCTTGCGAGATTCAGAGATCAATCAAAAGTCACCATTTTAGTTCTGCTTGATCAAAGTGAAGCTTTCGATTTAGTTAATTTCGATTGACTCATCAGCAAGCTCAAGTTCATAGGATTCGATGACATTTCTCTTGAATGGATGACCAGCTATCTCACAGGCCGATCACAGAGGGTCAAACTGGATGATTACTCATGGTCATCCCTAAAAGAAACAATCTCAGGTGTACCGCAGGGAAGTATTTTAGGACCCTTGATGTTTTCAGTGTTTATTTTTGATTACCCCACTTTCTTATCACATTGTCAAGTACATCTATACGCAGATGATATACAGTTATATTCGTCTTGTCATAACACCGATGCAGAAAGTTGCGTGGCCAATATAAACACAGATTTGCACAAAACATTCCTATACTCGGAGAATCATGGGCTGAAAATCAATCCAAATAAGATTTTGGCCTTATGCATAGGGTCTCAAAGACAAATAGTAGAAACTCAGTGTAACTTCAGGCTCTTATCTAGATAACGCAGACATTGACTGGGTAGACAGTGCTAAAAATCTTGGCGTACCATAGATAGCTCTTTGTCTTTCCATGAACATATGACAAACATTTTCAAAGTATCATTCTTCAAACTCAAATCGCTATATAAATTCAAGTATCAGTTATCAGAAGAAATGAAACTCATTTTATCCCATATCGAGTATTGTTGTTCGGTGTATTGCAATTTTTTGCCGCAATATAACAAACAGAAGTTACAACGAAGTTACATGCGATTCGTATGCTGAATACCATATGGTGAAAATGTCACCCCATTTTTGTTAAAAATGAAGGAGCTGAATGTGAAGTACAGAGTCCAATATTTGATAAAAATGTTTTTGTTTAAGTTGCTTCAAACTAAAACACCTAGTTATTTATAAAGTTTATTAAGCAGGCATTCTGACACCGTGCTTCCAAATTTCAAGGATGTTTTTTATATAGCCCCCTCTTATCTGAATGAAATTTTACCCCTTTTAAATCATACTATTCATCAATTTAAGAAAGAAATAAAATCACAGATGCTTAATTCCCAGTGCTAATTTGAAAATCAAATCAACGAAATTGTTGAATTGATCAAAATAATGTTGAGAATATTAAGAGTTACTAGCAACTATTTGATGTATTATTTTTTTCTCTTCTCTATTATTGTTATGATAGTAAATAATTATGTTTATGAATATTTTATTATACTCACTGTATAATTTTTGGGAGGAGTGGAAGATAGCCTATGGCTAACCCTTTTTCTTTTATGTATAAATGTATTTTTATGCATAATAAACGATATTACTATTATTATTATCTGAGGGTGGTCCTATAAGTACCTGGCCTGATCAAGATATGGCGGTAGATGTTTGAACAATATCAGTGTATTAGAAAGTTCACAATCTATGGAGTATATGTTTCAAGTTTGAAGACGCTGCGTTGTTAAGTATTTGTTTGGCAGTTGACGGAGTAGGAGAAGTTGAAAATTTACAAAAGGGGCTGTGAGAATTGCGATAGACAGTATGTTGGGCAAACTAAGTGAGTAGATTATACTAACTTGCTATAAGGAACACGTTTCACATATTAGAAATCGAATAATGTAAAACGAAATATATGAACAGCGACAAAGGCTTTATTTTAAACATTCCGTTATTTACTTCCTTATTACAAGTAGACAACAGGTAAAGAAATATATATAACAGGTAACAACTGATGATAGGTATAATAAGAATATAACAGAATAAGTTGTACAAGGAGTTGATTAATTGATGATTATAAAAATCTTAAAAACCAAAAAAAATATTTTAGTCATCTCCTGATGATACTAACTTGGTTAGCGAAACGTGCGACGAGACAGTGTATTTTGTTCTGCTTTGGGGAAACAAATATGCTTCCACTTGAACAATATATGGTTTCGTTTTGCCTAATTGGTGAGTAAATCAATATAATTGTGGTAATCAGTTACGAAAAGTTTTCCTTTCTATAACTATTTACAACTATTCATTCAGAAATGTTTATGCCGGCCGTATATACCTTTACTGCTGACAACTTTGAATACATCCACTCCTCGCGTGATTGCCAACGAATTTAAAAATAAGGTCCATGCCTGTTCACTAAATCATAGCTCAAATAAAAAACTTACCTTCCAAGTTCCCAAACCGAACACAGGAATTTTGCGGCCGTTGCTAAATTCAACGCTTGGTACTTTTACCATTTTTCTGCCGATGTGTTTCCGACCGACTTTGTGGGAAGGTATCTGATCACAGATTAGTAGTCGTAGTAATAATCTGTAATTCAGTAAAGTCAGGCGAAAAGCGCTATCCACTCGAATCCGTTCAAGGCCACATTTAAAAATAATCAATTTTGTTAAAACAAATCAGTTTCGGACGAGTTTGATAACGTCTCGGTGATAATATTCACGTTTTGATGTAATAGGTTATCAGTTAACATTCCCTATAATCGAAGTGATTACAGTTTGCAGTTGAATGTCTATTGAAAATATAAAACACTCGAAACATTCAACCTTGAAATTATGTTGCGGCAATCATAGGCGTAGTAAATAGGCAAATGCTAGAACTTTTGTGGGAATCTGTGACAAACTGACCCGTTGGGACGCTAATTTTGTGAAGGTCTGTTTCTTATATAAACCTTTGCAAAATAATATGCCGTTCAATAACGTGGAATCATTTTTGAGGCATAAGAGACAATTTCCCAGTATAGCCCCCGATCGTTTTATTGATTTAGATATTGGCCTGCAGGATCACCAGATCTGATCTCTAGAGTCTTCGTTTTTCGAATATCTGAAAAGCACACAAATGTTCATTCAATCTACAATGAACGATGCTAGCAATCGTCGTTTGAAAAAACTATCAAGTGCTTGGAGATATCTCTGATAATAATTATACAATGTTTGCACTAAGAATTTTATTCAAGACGTATTTCATTACATGGTGGATTTCATATCAGAAAAACAGTAAATTGATACAAAAAACAGCAACAATAGTATTTTCCAGATACATTTTACAATCTACATATGTGATTATTACCACAGTTTATAGTTATGTAATAACTATAACAGACAATGAACTAAGTCATCGAAAGATTTAAACTCTAAACAGTAGCTCGAAAGTCAAAACATGAGATCGACGGAAAAAACAGTAGATCTGGCAACAATGAAGACAACGCTCCTCTCGTGCGACTTGTTCTTCATCTGTAATGGATTGATTCGCGAAATTCTACTGTTTAATTGCATTATGACTTCGTTGCGGAAAATTCAATCTTCTCATTTGCTTCATAGAAAAAAACACTGCTGTAGATATTGTTGTTGTCAGTTTGTTTAATCTTCCATTTTTTGCTCTTAGTTTTTCAAATTTTCTGAAAGCTATTCTGCTATGTCGGAGGGAGACAAATACAATAAATCAAAAATCATGAAAATCGAACCAATCGTTTTTGAGTAATTATTCTGTTTTAAAAAGCTCTTTTAAAATTTTTTTCCATTAATCAGCTGTCGCCCCCATACGAACGACAATCGAAGTGTATCGTACTCTACCTGGCTTTTTGGAAAATCTGCGAGGACGAATCGTTACGCTTACTTGATTATAGGTAAGTTCTTACGTGAAACTAAATTTACATTTCTCAGAAGTTTCTTATCTTCTCAACGAATACAGCAACAGTAGATCAAAATCCATTTTCATTACAATATTGTATTGTATTTTTTTTTAAATCTGTTTCACGCATTTTGAATGAAATTCATAGTGTGGAAATAACATAAGTGTTATATATTAGAAGTGGAAAAATGAATGAAACTTCACAAAAAATTAAAGTTTATTTTTACATGAGAAATATCAACTTCAATGGATTCTAGTACTCACTATTCACAAAAGGATGGTACTTGTGAGTGAAGGCACTGAAACAAAAAAATCAATAATTGTTTATTGTAGGTATCACAAAATAGGATAGAAGCTTGTTCAATGTCATCAGATGAGTAACTGAATCATGGGGCAAAAACCGAAATCGATCCGTTTCTTTTTTCTTGTGTTTTGTAGCTATCTGAAAAGATATCAAAATGTGCGTCGTTTTCAAAAAGAAATGAGTTTTATCGAACAAATCGTTGTCAACAACGGTCACAAAGTAGATATTATTGACTACGTTCTTCCCAATGTAAGAAAGTGTTCACCTCTTTTTATCAATTTAACTGTTTCTTCTTTGTCTCATTCTTACTACCCTGAAGAAGCTTCCTATTAGAAGCGACAGCTACAATAAGACAAATCACTACAGCTTGATTTCTCACTGAGGCAGAATGATTACATGAAAATTCTTGATAAAACATACAAATGTGTTCAAAATATAATTTACTTGTACCATATGCTTGGTACCAAGAAGGGAGAGACAAGAAAAATGACAATGACATCTGTCATGGAATTCAATTTGAGAAATACGTTTCCCCATACTGAAACTAAGGAACAATTATGACCGTCTAAAAGAACAAACAAGGAGATAAAACGTTCAGTAATATTAATATATTTTGATCATTCCCATATCGGTTTCAGTTCGAGAGCCACCGGTAGACAACTGTTTCAGAATATTGGGCATCGTCAGTACCGGGCAGGCAGGCCTCGATTGGAGAAAAAATGTAAACAACCAAGAAAAGTACTTAATGAAAATAACTGCGTGAACGTAAGCGAGATATAAGTGAAACAGAAGTTGACGGGTGATTATTAAACGAATGTAACTTACAACAAAATTTATTAAAAGGTCAAAAATACTGAGTGCGCATATAAGCAAAACTAAAAAAAATATGGCTCTTCTTTGGCACCCCGAAAATAATTGGAATCAGTACAAAGTATGGCCTCCACGCTGGTTTATTACGGCCCTACATCTATCGTGCATCGACAAAATGAGATTGTCAATGTCTTGTTGAGGTACATTTGCCTATTCAGCGATTAAAAGCTCTCTCAATTGAAACGTTGTGTGAATGTTCCCCATATGCGGAGTAATTCTACGTTGAAGCATGTCCCACACATGCTCGATGGGATTCAGGTCCGGTGATTATGCTGGCCATGGCAACACATCAACTCCTTCGTTGGTGAGCCAGTCAGTCACTAGACGCGCGACATGTGGACGAGCATTATCGTGCATTAGGTGGAAGTTTTCACCAACAGCACCAGCAAACGGACGGACGATAGGTAGAAGAATGGTGTCGAGGTACTGTCGAGCTGTGAGGGAGCGATTTGGAAAAACGAGATCGGTTCTGCCGCCGATCATGATTCCTCCCCATAGCATTACTGAACCACCTCTGTATGTGTGGACTTCCTGGACGTGTCTCAAACGTTCATTATTTCCAGGTCGTCTCCACAGTCTTACTCGACGAGAATCTGGATGAAATCCAAATCTGGATTCGTTTGTAAACAAAACTGTGGCCCAATCATTTGCATCCCAGTTTTGATGTTCTTGACACCACTCTAATCTTCTACCGCGATTGCCTCTAGACAAAGGTGGACATCTAAGTGGCCTTCTGTTGTGGAGATCTGCTTCATGCAGTCGATTTCTGACAGTATCACGACCAATGGTTACCTGGTGCGTCTGCTGCAACACGTTAACCAACTCAGGTGCTGTGATTGTCGGTTGTCTTCTTACGGTTAAGACCAAAAATCGGTCTTTAACTGCAGTTGTAACGCGTCCTCGCCCTGGATGTTGTTCGGCTGGACTGCCAGTTTTTAGGGAACGCCGCCACAATCGATTGATAACACTTTGGGAGACCCCCAAACGAAGAGCTACATCATTTTGTCGCATGCCACCTTGAAGAAGCCCTACAGCTCCATTCATCTCAGCCAATGGTTAGTGATGGCGTTCCATGTTAAAGCACAATATTTCCAGTTTAATTGCTGAGCAAGAACTGCATAGAATGTACAAACTCGCCACTTTCAGATTATTCATTTTAGCCGAAAACCTACAGTTTGTAAAAAACTTGATAAAAGATTAGTTACCGTTTTTGCAGGCTTTGTTCAACCCATAGAAATCTATAGGGTGGTCGAGTGTACCAATTTAATCGAAATTAAACGACCTCATGCATGACCAGTTCAGTTTGAGGAGTGCCAGAAGATGACAGTACTACCAACTGTCGAAAGCGCTCGCAGATAATTTATAGAAGATATAAAGCTTCAAATCCTTTTTGTAGAATCTAATATAGAAATACTCAAAATAAAGGAAAATTAGTTGCATCAATCAAAAAAAAAATCAATACTTACTCTGCATATGGACAAAATCTGAAATTACAATCCATGCTATCTATGGCGGCCATATCTTCTGGGTCTAAATTGAAATCCCAGATCTGAAAATTATGTTGGATTCTCCAGGGATCGATAGACTTTGGGATAGTAATGCACCCCCTCTGAACCTCGTATCTCAGTAGTACTTGAGCTGGCGACCGGTTGTTTTTTTCTGCAACTACTTTCAGTCTAGGATCTTCTAGCAGTTTCGGATCTTCGGGTTTAGCCCATGGTCTGTCAGGTGACCCCAAAGGGCTGTAGGCGGTTACAACGATATCCTTGGATTTGAGGTACTCGATGAATCTTTTCTGGTTCAGGTATGGCTGCACCTCGATCTTGTAAGAACGCGTGAAATTAATATTTGAAATCATGTTTTTGAGTTTCAATAGTCTATTTGCAGGCTGATGTGCATCAGGCGCGTATGTTGATATCATTGGGGATAAGAGGTAATAGAAAAGGGGTGGCGCTATATTTTTGGGCAAACTCGAACTGATTAATATAGTTTATTGTATGGTTTTCACTATGAAGGGTTTTACAAAAACCACGGCACGTGTTTTGGTATGCAATAGTCTCCTCAAGTTCCTGAGGAAGCTATTGTATAGCCTACATTCGGTGTAGTAAAAAATTTAGTGCCGAATAGTCGAATAAACAAAAAAAATCGCCTCACAACTTTTACTGTCACGTTGATTATTTGACAGTAAACCATCCCAATGAATAGAGAAGCGTTGAAGCAGTGTCGTACCAAAGAAAATTAATTGAGATTAATATTGTGTGACAATTCAGGGGGTACTGTTTTATTGTGAAAGTGGGAAAAAACTGTCAATTTAATTTGTTACACAGAATATCGTTTCTCCCACAAGAGACGTAACAATATATTAAGAAATACGAAGAACATTTTTGTATACTAACCTGGTTCGTTACTGGCTTGATTGTACAATGTTGAAGAATGCGGTCGGTTTGCTTCTTGTTAAAATTTGACAACCCGATAGATCTTGTAAGGCCCTTCCTTTGAACTCTCTCCATTCCTAACCAGGTGTCCAAATAGTGTACATCGCTGTAAGCTGTAGTTCCATTGGGATGAGTTGGGAACAGCTCGCCCCCTTCCTGAAAATAACACACTTACGAATTGATATTGCACTCTAAAGTTGACCAGAATATCTAATATATGAAACTAAGTCGGAAAATCATCTTAGTAACACACCATTTACAACTCAAGAAAGGCTCACTCAATTTTGATGATATTTTTTTTCCTGGCTTTGTCTATTATCGTTATAGCAGAATGACAATTGAAACATTCAAAAAATTATATATAGGAAACAGGCAATATACAGGAAATCTACACAAGCAAGCTCCACCATACCCGCAAGTTCAAACCATCCATCATCACACAAAATGGTTGCCTATAACGCATTCATATATAGAATGTTAAGGATACCACTCAGCAATGAAGCCCGAAACAAAGAACGGAAAATCATATACCAAATAGCGAACGAAAACGGATACACCCAAAAGACAATGAATAAATTAGAAAACAGAATCAAACAAAAAATACAGAACAAGGATCAAGCCACCCCAACAGACAAAACAACACAACGATGGACAGCATTTACGTACGTAGCAGATAATTTATAGAAGATATAAAGCTTCAAATCCTTTTTGTAGAATTTAATATTGAAATACTTAAAATAAAAGAAAATTAGTTGCATCAATCAAAAAATCACCTACCACCTGAATGGGGTTGGCCAAAGTGATAAACACTGTCCGCCACTCGCGATGGAACACCCCATTTTTACGGTAAAACATATTAGGGGGCAAAATAGGCTCAACATTCCTTCAGATTCGTGATTGGGAGTACCAACTCACTATGAATACACTTTTTTCCTGAAAAAAATTCAGTCCTGAAAAATCCGAATTTGTCTCACTTCTTATGGAAACACCCCCGTATCTTCCGTAATATTCGAGGTGGAACGATGAAACTCTCAGGATTGATGGAAATGCTCAAAATGCACCTGCCACCTGAATGGGGTTGGCCAAAGTGATAAACACTGTCCGCTACTCGCGATGGAACACCCCATTTTTAGGTAAAACATATTACGGCGCAAAATAATTCGCTTCCAATACCTGAACCCCTTCATTCTATCTGAAGAGTACTCTCAGGTATGAGAGATATAGATGCTGTGAGATGCTATAATCCATTTTGAGGAATATGTCACGGCACCACATTCTCAGAATATCGAGATAGTGTGAAGCAGTGAATGAAAAATTATCGATGGCGACATCTACTACAACTATCTATTATAACATCTATTATCAAACTGCAATTTGAGGAGTGCCTAGAAGATGGCAGTACTACCAATTTTATCTAGCTGCGTATTTCTGTACAAATTAAAATAAATGTTTCAAATTACCAAAAAGCGTCTCTCGCGTTATGGAAGCACAAACATTTGTGATACTATTTTTCAAATCCTTTACATTTTGTGGACGTCGCATATAAACTAAGTCTTTGATATATCCCCACAAAAAGAAATCTAGTGGAGTAATATCTGGACTTAGAGCTGGCCATAGTATTGGACCCTTATTTCCAATCTATTTCTCAATAAAAGTATCATCCAAATATTAGGTAACTATTCTGTTATTATGTGGAGGTGCCCCATCTTGTTCAGACCAATAGTGACAATTATGTTTGTTTATTATACCGTTGTTATGGAAACGGCTTTCATCACTCCATAATATTTTTTCAGAAACTGATCATCATCATGAATACGGGTGGAAAACCATACAATGAAGTTCAATCTTCTATCAGCATCTCCTGAATATGGGAATATATTTTAGTTATTGAAAATGAAACACGGAGATTAATACCTGGATGTAGTCCTTGAACCAAATGTATTTTGTATGGATGGAATTTGTTTTTTGACAAAATACGTTGTATTGACGATTGCGAAATGTTACAATACCTACATTGCTACTTGTCTGGTAGAACTATTTGGTTGCAACACTGTGATTCTCATCAGTAGCCATTTTTGTTTTTTTTGCTTCCGTTCATTAAAACATTCATTTCGTGCCAAAGATTTGGCTAAGCCAGCGAATGTTTTGTCTGACGGTAATTTTCTGTCAGGATACCGATTAGCGTATATTCGCACTGCTTCTTTTGAATTCCTTCTTGCTTCGCCATAAATACACATCATATCCAACTTTTCTGCATTTGAAAATTGAACCATTTTTCAATTTTACGAAAAACCAACACAAAACTGAATACACAGGTCTTCTGACAGATCGATAAATACATTATTGCTTTTATTTTGACTTATTCATGGCCCAATTCATAATACGCAATAACTTTAACTTTTTTCATCAGTATTCAAGAAAAACTACAGGTGTGGAGAGTGCTGAGATTCTTATGGAAACTCACTTCCCAGGTTCTGTCTTTCCTGGAACGGCGAACTGGACGGATGTACCAATAACACCCTCACAATATGACTGGCAATATGCTAGTACAGTAATTGATGAGGACAAAATAAGATGGGCTATATCGGGCTTTTCCCCCTTCAAGTCACCAGGGCCTGACGGTATAAGACCAGCCCTACTTCAGTGGGGACTGGACACTCTTATGCCACACCTGGTTGGAATATTCAGAGCCTCTCTAGCTCTGAGGTATATTCCCAGTAAGTGGAGAGAAGTAAGAGTAGTATTTATACCCAAACCAGGTAGGATGGACTACACCCTACCAAAAGCATTCCGACCAATTAGT